TTTGATGTTTATAAAATGATACCAGGAGCATATCATTCCAGAGTCATTTATCTCCCCCAAATATTGGTTCACTTCTATTGCCCAGTGTGTGTAACAAAAAAAATAAGAAAATAAAATAATAATAATAATAATAAAAATAAAATAAAATAAAATAAAAACACTGTTAAAGGTGATAACTGTGAAGAGAAATATTAGTTTTACGTATATCTTTTTTATCTGATATCAAATAATCATTTTCCAGTTACCTTTGTACGGCATTTCTTTTTCGCGTCTATAGTTTTGCTATGAAAAAAATACCGGAACTCGTGTTGCGCAAAGGATTATGGTCTATATGAATGAGGCGCCATTTTCTTCAACAACCAGGAAGTAACAGGACGGAGATTGTGAGATAATGTTGAACATATTTGACAAAGAAAGAGATATGATCCGAACGACTTGTAGGTATATGGAGCAAGTGTTTATGTTACTGTGATCTCCAAGCTGCAGCACCAGAAGTAAACATAAAGTTTAGCAATCACTGACAGAAATATTACAGGATCTACTGTCGGAATGGAAGCCATGTTAGGGCAGTCTAGACGAGGTGTAAATCCAAGATCAGGACAGGTGACAGTACAGACACAACCTCCATTAGCTGAACAGGAAACAAATACAACATCAGCTACACATCCTCCTGTTTTCTTAGACAAGGCAGAATGTGTGCGTTCCTTCAGTACTAAACTGGAAGATTATTTTACCAGCATAACTGGGTTAGCCATAGATAAGGAACACATGTTTGTTGTGGATAATGGAAACAACAGAACAAAAGTATTCACACATGAAAGACAATTTAAGTTTGACATTAAAGTAAACGAACCATGTGATGTGGCTGTGTCACAGACTGGTCACCTGTATATAACATCAGAGGGTGACAGTTGTGTCCAAGTGTACTCCACCAGAGGTCAGCAGGTGACAACCATGGGTCAGGGTCTACTGGAGTGGCCACAGGGTATTACACTGAACAGACAAGGTCATGTGATGGTTTGTGACAATAGAAAGAAGTCCATCTTCACATTCCATGCAGACAGTGGACAGCTCCTGAACACTATTCCACTCAGTATGTGTAGAGACCCAGAGTACATCACAGTGAACAGTGTGAATGATAACATTGTGATATCAGACATGTGGGGAGACTGTGTACATGTGCTGTCACCTACTGGTGATCATCTGTACCAGTATGACGGCAGCAGAGAAGGCAGTGAACTGAGGTTACCACAAGGAGTGTGCACAGACAGCTATGGTCACATCTTCATTGCTGACTATGATAACCACAGGATAGTGGCACTGAGTCCACAGGGACAGTTTATCAGATACATTGTCACTGAGGATGATGGGTTGAAGTTACCCAGTGAAGTAGTCATCAACCCTGCTGGTCAGCTGGTGGTGGGAGAGAGGTTCGGCAATGTTAAGACATTCCAGTACATTGACCTGAAACAAGGTGAGTAACATGTATTAACTGTGGATAGATATGATTATTATGTAAAATATTTGAAAGTTAATTAGTCTTACAATGTTTTTATCCATAAATATGTTTGCCTTTATTTCAATAAAAACATTTTTAAGCATATTTAAATTCAGTAAGCACACAGCTGTGCTTCAGTAAAAATGTATGTAGAGTGGAGAAATTTTCTATAGTTAATACTTTACTGTTACTGACCAATTTCCATGAACCCATTAGTGATTAGGATTTTGAATAAGGATAAAGAACTCTTTTTAATGGAATTTATAGTATGCTTTATTTGTATTTTTATTAAGTCAGAAGAAAAACATCTTACATTGTTTAATGCCTGAACTTCTTGTTCATATGTCAGTGAAGAACAACTCAAATCTCACAACAGAACAGTCCAATTCTTCATATTCTTCATCTTGTAGCTGTTCATGAAAGCTTAGATATACCTAAATTCTCAAATGTACTTTGTCAAGTTTCTTGATGTCTTACCACTTCTAGATTCAAAGACATTTCATCACCAGTTTGTTGTTAACACACACAAATAAATTAAATGTTGAAGTACTTTGGATAATACCTTATTTTCCTGACTTTGTGGATTGTTGTTTGCAAATAAAACTAGCAGACGACCATTTTTCATGAAATGAAACTACTTTTTACAGGAAGTAGTGTATTCATACACAACAGTGACCTTGGGTTTGGAATACAAAAAAATAGTACATGCATTCATACTGTCACAGCATGCAAATTATAATGAAATATACAAAACTAAACACATTTTTATGTAACACAAAAAGTTAAATGCATTTTTATTTATTTATTATTATTATTATTATTATACTGGATAAAAACGTTGATGAAATGGTTTTGACCACCTTTTTGGAACTTTTAAACTGCATGCTGATGGACCCACATATTTATGTCATACACACTAAACATAGATGAGAAAGAATATGTCACCATGAACATATATATATATGGGTCAAAACACGGTAACGGTGCCATGGGTATCAATTTTTTTTTTGTTTCATTGAAATTTAAAATTTTTACATTTTTGTAGAAAACAAATCAAATTTTCAGACAATATAAGTTTCATTGATATACTCCCAGTACTTTTTCTGTGAGCCACTGGGAAACATAAAGGAAAAAAAAATTGTCTCTGACGGGACACATGGTCATATTGGCCTGAGTCAGATATAAGGTTGTTTTTTTCAAGTTTTTATCACCCAAATATGTTAAACTAATCAGAAGTAATAGTTTAACATAGAAAACTGCCACCTATCACTTATTTTGAGTAAAAAAGTATTAAGCACTAGGTGTGGTGTGTCCCGTCAGAGACATTTGACTTCGAAAAGTTTTCATATTTTCCACATCTGGTAGGTTGTATAAATGAAACTTAAAATCCTCTTTTAAATAATGATAAGTAATGATTATAGCTAAAAATTACAAAATTAAAACAATTAACAGTGAATTTATAGCCACATTTTATCATTGTCTCTGACGGGACATTTCCTGTCTCTGACGGGACATTTTCTGACAGATGTGAAACACAAGGTTTTACATCTTCAATTGAATCATTTTCAAGTGTTCTGGTGTGTTACATTTCGTATTTTTCTTTTGCAACTGATCATTACTGGGTAATTCATTAACCATTACTGATTATTTGCTAGGTTGACTGTCAGTGATTAGGTGTTGACATGTGCTATCAGAGATCATGTCAGAGCACTAGAACTGTGAGCAGTTCATTCTGTTCACTGCATGTGCATGATTTAGAACAGAGTCTGAAGGAGATCTCCAGCTCCAACCATATGTTGTGGTATCTGATGATCTCCACCATAACAAACAGTCCGTCTTCACTTGTAATAAGGCCATTCTCGAAGGTCTCGAAGACCTTCAACACCAGCAAGCATTCAGCAAAGTCCATTACTGGTCAGACGGAGCTGTAACCCCCAGTCAATTCAAAAGTTGGTTTTTACTGTCTAAACATGGTACTATCATGGAAGAGATTTTGGTATGGAAGCGCAGTGGTACTTTTTATACCACTGCCCATGGCAAAGGACCAGTGGATGGGATCGTAGGGGAAATGAAACATCAGGTTTGGAGAGCAGTGCTCCAGAGAAAAATGGTTGTAGATACACCTTATCAATTCTATTTGGCTGGCAAAGAATTATGCCCCAATGTCAACGTAATGTACCTGTCTGCAGCAGATATTGTAGCAGCTACCGCGCCCATCAGCAGTCGCTGGGAAAACTGTCCATCTGTTCCAGGAATTCAACACTTCCAACGGCTTCAGCCCCAGCCCCGTGGACATGTTCTTGTGTCAACCAATTCTCAGTACCAGCAACCCTCTTAATATGGTAAACTTATTCATATGACTGTGGACTTTGATTTGCCTGCACATCCACACTATGACAATGTCGGTCAAGGCACAGCTCAGTCTCACCAGGGAGATTTTGTCATTGCAGAGTTTGCTGCCAGGAAAGGAGTAAAACCGTTCTTATGTCAGGTCACCCATGACACTGAAGACGGCTAAGTGGAAGTCAGTTTCTTACGTACTGAAGGTTCTGGCAAAATAATCTTTGTGTACCCTGCCATAGAAGACAAAGCATGGATTCCCATAAAAGATGTAAAAGGAAGTCCTTCCAATGCCTAGCATAGACACTCGTGGACTTTACTTGTTTCCATCACCTGTTAATGTGACTGGTTGAAAAAAAATCTCTAAAGTGCAGAAAAGATGTGTTCTAAGACTAACTGAAAAACAGGAATTATTATGTGAACTATCATGGACAGTGTTGATTGATATTGAGAAATAGCAGTAATGGACAGTGGATTACTTGTACGTGAAAATTATACTGTGCCTTATCACTGTGTCATGATAATTAATTAATATTATAAACATATTGCATCTGGTGATTTTTCTAATGTACAGAAATGCTATTTTGCAATAACCATCAAGTAAGATTCATTAGATA